ATAATACATTCATTTAAAATTGGTTTCCTAATAATTCTGGTACTTTAATGCTCGTGTCTTGAAGAGCTGCTGGTTTGTAATAGCAAAATAAAACAGAAGAAATATGATTTTTTTTGTCCTTGCTCAAAAACTTAATAACAAAACTTACAAAAAAAAAAAACATTTGACAGTAAAAAAGGATGGAATTTCCAGGGTCAAAACTTTATCAGGGGTGCCTCATGCCTATTTATTTGAAGGTCACTAAAATAACGATAAAAAATAAAGAAAAGAAAAGAATAAAAACCACAGACAACTGTGTTTTGTAGCAGGCACAATAAAATTTGCAATCAGAATTCTTTGTGACCACACAAACAATCTGCTCTATTTTAGCAACTCATTTGATTTACAAAGCGCCCGCTTATTTGTCCCCGCGGCAGACCCCCTTTCTTCTCCCCTCCTGGCTTCCCTGGTGGAGGAATGACTTTCCCTGCACACTTTGAATGGCAAAGTCAAAGCTTACACATCAGCTATACATGATTCTAGTCTCTGGTACAAACACTTTTATTTACCTCCTCGTTCCCTTCATCCCTTTATGGCTCGACGACTTTCTTATTGTGTCGCTGCTCGGGGCCTGAATTTGTCCTTGTCTTTTTAATATGTAAGCATAAACAATCAAAGTGATGCTAAAAGGAATAAAAATCAGTGCGTGATGAAACAGAAACATCTTATGGAGGCTGAAAGGCTTCGCTTGAAGATATTGAATTTGCCAGACTGATCACTTCGTCTGCACAAATTGCTTTTTTCTTTTGCTTTTACCTGCAGGACAGAGCAATTCAGTCTAATGTATTCCAAGTGTTTCTGCACAGAATGTCTAATTTATTGTCTTGATGCATCCAAAATGTTTTAGCACGAATAAAAAACAATAATAATCACTAATTTTTCTGTAAATTAGTGCATTTGTCGTGATAAGTACTCAGATTTTGCAGTAAATAAACAGTCATATGACATAACATGACACATTTAGCCATAGAAACACCTGGTAGTTCTCTGCCGGTCTTTCATATTTTGTCTTTTTAAAGTTTAGTTCAATGTAAATGTAAATAAATGCAGTCCATGTTCTGTGTACAAGCTATTGGCTTAACTTAAAAAAATTACATTTTTTTGCAGGTGTCTGAAATGTCCATGTAAAAAAGAACATGTCAAAACCATGTAAGCGAGAACAGATGTCTTACTTCTTGTGAAGTATAGCAACCTTCATGCTCTGAATATGTATTGGAGATGACTCTCAGCTACTATCACACACAATCCTGCTCGTTATCTCTAAAAATGGGCTGAGGGATTGTCATTTTTATGTTTCATAGTGTTGCTCAGCTGTAGAGGCCATCTTGAATGTATTTCCCTCCAATATGTATTAGGTCAGAGATCAGGATTGGGTAATATTGACAAAAGTTTATTAGGATTATTTGTGGCATTTAGCCATTAATGATTAACATGATGATTAATAAAAGACACTTTGAATGTGGCCAATGTTGTGGCCTTGGTCCGAAATTTTTGGCTTTCCTCGTACTCTGGTTTATGCCAATGTTTCAGGTGATTAAACAGGTTTATAGGGTTAGGGTTAGCACTAATCTTAATATTAGTTGCACTAACCCTAAAGCACTAACTCAAATATTTAGGTCCCCTAATTCTAAAGCACTAACGCACTGAAACATTTAGCAAAAGCTGATTCTAAAGCACTAATATAATCCAGTTGACACATGAAACATGTTGTCACTTAGTGCCCTTGGCGGGCCAAATGGGAGTCACCTGCAGGTCACATTTGGCCCGCGGACCTTCAGTTTGACATGTAGATAAGTGACACACAAATTAACAAAATGTGTGAGAGCTTTCTCCCTCCACTGTGAACAATAATGTTGATCAATAACATTTAAAAACCTCAGTTAGAGCTTCTAAATTTAGCAAGTGCTAATCCAGTAATGAATTAAAAAAAATAGCAAAAGCCCTAAAGCACTAATCAAGAAACTAGTTCTCCTATTAGTGCTTTAGGGGAACTGTGCCCACCACTGGCTGCTCCATGCAGCCTTCTGCCATTGGGCTCACATGCAGATCAATCAATCAATCAATCAATCAATCAATCAATCAATCAATCAATCAATCAATCAATCAATCAATCAATCAATCAGTCCTCAATTGATTTTTTTCTCACTGAGATTGCAGTATTAGTAAACAATTTTAACATAATAAAAAAAGTTTATTTTCTGAATGTTTAAAGGCAGAAAAAAAGTGAAGTCATTATTTTATTTTGCTTGGATTTGGATAAAGAAGCCCAATTTAGAGCAAAAGAAGTAAAGTGCAAAAGCCCACTAAGCATCTGTTGTTTTCTAAAAGATTGTCAGTCAGCGGTACTAAGAGGACAATGGAACAGAACTATTTGTTCTTTGTGTCAGCCGTTTTCCTCCCTAAATCATGCTGCATTACACGTCACATACATATTCATGGGTCTGCAGCAAAGTAGGCCCTGGAAGCATGCGTCGATGGTGCTCATGCAGAATTTAACACTGTCATTTGGTTCCGGACAGAACTGCAAGCTGACCCATAAAGAGCTCTTTCACAGTCTTGTTGATGACACCAGCAACATTGGTAACAACTTAATGACAGCGTGCGCAGTCCAAATGCCTCTCAGAGGGACACTTCACATGAGAAGTGCATGCCATGGAGAAAATATTTCCTTTCCGTTGGCTCTTATCAAAGTTGTGAATCTGACACTATAATGTTTATTTTGTTTTCTTGGGCTTTACTTTTAGTTTTATTTTACTGGGAGCCATTCTTTCTGGACAAGGCACCATAATGAATGCGAGCGAGAAGGGCTGTAATTGTAGGTTGGTGTTTCCACTCTATAAATACCACTTTCTCTTCAAGCAACTCCCAACTTCTCTGCAATATAAATATGTTATTATCCTCTATCCTATCATTTGCCTGAAAGATTTTCGAAATTTATAAGCTTCTCGTTTTGTACCCATGTGTTTAGTGTTTATTTTAGCTGCAGTGACATACAGAAAGCGTTGCAAAGCGAGATAAAAAATGGGCTTTATGAAGGAAGGGAGCAGCTGAGGAAGGAGGGGGGAGGAGGCACGAGGATAGGCGGAGGGGGAGGGTAAACACACCCTAGACAGAGCCATGTCTGACAGATCTGCTCTCTGAAAGGAGGAAGAACTCCCATGCAAACGAGAAGAAGCGAGATAAAAGGAGGAGGGAGTAAATGCAAAACAGCCGGGCTGAAAGAGATGCGCAGGGAGCTGCATCATAGGACAAAAGCAATGGTGTTCGTGAATGGGAGCTGGTGATCTGAAGCACCAGGCGAGTGCAGTGAGAAACCAGGCAGACTTCTCTGAGCAGCAATCCTCTTTCCCTCTGTCCCCCCTGTCTGTCCCCCCCTCCTCCCCTCTCCCTCTCCGCCAGCCTGGACCGAGCTTGGCATGATTTACGGGCAGGGTTTAAGGGTTTCTGCTTCGGATTTGGAGCTCTGTGTTTTAGGAATATGCCACTGGAGTGGATTTGAGCGTGCTGTTATTCCTGATTGAACCCAGTGTGCGACGTGGAGACTCCCGCGGCCGCTGCTCGCCTCTCTCTGCAGCCTCCATGGTCCTGACTGAAACACACTTCATCACCCAGATGCACAACTCCGACTGCCTGGGAGGGTAATTCTGCAGACACCAGCATGGGAGCCAAACAGATGAAATGGTAAAAAAAAAAAAAAAAAAAAAAAAAAAAAAAAAAAAAAAAAAAAAACAATTTATCACATGGCACCAACAAAGAAAGCCATGAAAAATTCTAAATGCACTAGCATTTATCTCTTAGCTACAGTTTCACAGGTGGCTGTAGATTCCTTCAGGCTATTTTCCAGTTTTGTTAAAGTTTTCACAAGAATTTTTACTTGGATAGTCAACACAGACACAGTGCAAACTCCACAGTGACACAAGTGTTTACTGCCAGTTGTGATGTTGTCTTGTGCTGACTAATGAGAGTAGATAAGCATAAAGCCTGATTGGCTTTAGACAATCTTGCATCATATTTAAAGAAGTAACATGTTAACTGTGCAGCTAATAGAATCCCTGAGGACAGCTTTATTCCCACAATTAAATCCACAGTTGCCCTTTTTTTTCTTTTTAAGGTTTTTCTTTTCTCTCCAAGTGTAGGGTGGTAAATTCTGATGCTTTGATTTATTTTTTTTAATGGCCATGCTAGTGCAGACTTTAAGACCTGTTTCTGCAGGTACTGCTCTGTTTTTACATGCAGACTTGCAGGCAAAATGAAGGAATCTTATTCTTTTCCTGGAGTGCATAACCCTGCAGGTCACAGGTCACATTAAACGTGTCCTGTTTCTACAAAGAGCAGAGGAAAAAAATGACAGCTGACCTGAACCTTTGGCTGTAAAAGTACAAAGAACACAGACAAGTGTTTTTCTGAATCAGCTCTTGGATGCCTGTGCAAGCATAATGTTTGGAAATTATAGCCAAAGGGAAGCAAAATATGCAAAGAATTTCCTGTTAAGAAAAAAAAAAAACCCTGCTTTCTCAACTAGTTTTAAAGCTTTTTATTCGTACTGTATTTGTTTGTGACGCTGTATTCTTGAGGGAATTTCCTTGTTATAATCAGGAAGTTTAAAATGTTTTGCCAAGATGGAACCAATTCCCATTTTGTTGCTTCTTTTGGAGGCACTAAAGCCTAAATCTTAATTTTTAGCTGTTCTGTTTTATTTTCTGCAGTTCATTTGGCAGGACATAAACATTCATGTTGTCACCATCTGTTTCAGTCTCAGCTCTGCGAGCCCTGCGCACACCCCCAAAGAGGAGTATGTTATCACTCAGTCCACAGACAGCACTAAAGAAGAACCAGTCCACGATCAGACTGAGGACCGGGGGGAACCTCAGGAAGACAGATCTGAGCCGACAGAGAGGAAATCTGTCCCAGGTTGGTCGGCTGCAGAGGCAAGGCTTGTAAACCCAGAAATGATACTGTGAATGAAGCAGCATGGACTCGTTTTCTGTGTCGCTCTGTTCCTTTCAGATGAGGTGCTGCTCTGTGGATTATGTCCCTCCCTCGGTCATGATGGGCAGGAGGAAGAAAAGAGCTGGGAGGAGCAGCTGGATGCCCACCAGGAGCAGCTGGAGAAGGAGATGCAGGAGGCCAGGAGGATGGTATTCCGCCTACAGGTAACTCTGGGTGATAAACTGCTAAAAAAACAAACAGGAAAAAAAAAGCAAAGCAGATGAATCAGAGAATAGGTCGGGGGTTCAAAAACAGCATAACGTGGGAGTTTAGCCAATTCTTTGACATCACATTCAGTATTTTTACTGAATTAAATTACAAGAAGTAAATATTAATAAATGAACAAAATGTCATTTCATTTTTATTATAAGGTTTAAAAAGGTGTGTCTAATACATTTCTCATTTTTGCATTCCTGTTAATATTTATTTTTGACATCAGGGTTTGCTGCTGCACGGCTCTCTTCCGGAAGAAGACCAGGATGGATCCGTGACCTTCGGGGAGAACCGGGCGACCACGGAGCAGCAGCTGGTACGTCACAGCGCCCCCTCTCTGCTCACTCGAGAAGGCAGCTCTTACTTCCTGCTTTGTGCCAAAGTGTCCATGTCAGGCCTTCTCTCTTGATGATGTGTGCAGCCCTAACTCCTCCGGAGAGCCCAGATGAATTCTCTCTGATCTGCTAGCCCACTGTCGTGCACATCCACTGCCACTTCATACGCTCTGACATTTTCCCCTTCCCTAATTATCCCGCTCATGTGCGCTCTTTGAAGGTTCTAATCCGCAGTCGTCTGGACCAAAGCGTGGAGGAAGCCCTTGATCTCAAGGTACAGTAACAAAATGTAATTAGAATTAATATGGACGAGCTTCCTTTTTTCTTCTTCTAATGAGCCTGTTGGTGTTTGCGACTCGTAGAGGGAACTCCTGAGGCACAAACAAGAGACACGACACACTCAGGCCATCAAGGTAAACCTCTTACTTAATTTTCTTTTCTTAGATTATGAATAAGAATGGATTAAATGGAATGAATTTGGCACGCTCAGAAACTCATGAGTCAGCAGTTTTTTTTAAACAAACATAAACAGCCTTCATTTCCTCCTAATAGATAAGACAAAAAAAAAAGAAAAGTGAGTGAGTGCAATAAATGTGCAGTAAACAAGGCAGGTGGATGCACTTGATCTGTGTTTGCGTCTTCTCTTTGATCTTCTGCTCCGTCTCATTAGGATGCTCTGCAGCAGCGCCTGGCGGTGCAGGAGGAGGCCGTGCTGCAGCTAAAGCAGGAGCTGCTGAGGTGTAACATGGCCAAAGATGAGCTGGAAGGAGAAAATGTGAGACCAGTGATGGATTTTCTCAGGACCTGCTGGATTATTTGGCTTGTTTTTATACTCGTGGACGCAGGTTTAGGTTTGTATTTATTGTACGTAAAGCCTGTGTTTACGTCTGCAGGAGGAGCTCAAACACAAACTGAGTGAAAGAAACAAATTACTCACTGACTATGAGGTATGGCCTTAAATTATATAGATGTCAGCACTACTTTTATTTTTTAGTTTCGCAAATGCATTTAAAAGCCTTTTACTGTATATGTCTCGTCTCAATAGCAGCAGCTTGGGAGGAAGGACAGATTACTGCAGCAGCAGCAACAAAAGCTCGACGAAACTCAGCATAAAGCACACGAAGTCAGCCGCGGACGGGTACGGAGCATGACATGATTAAAGCGTTACCACAGCAAACTCTGCACTTCCATGTAAATAACAAATCACAGTTACACACTACTCCACACCCAGCAGCAGCCACTTTTCTTATCAACAAATCACTCGATAACACCTCGAGCACTGATGCATTTAGGTGGTGCCTTGCTCAAAAAAAAAAGTTGTATTTCCTTGCACGGTTCAACACCGTAGTCTTTATAAATCCTGTATTCACAGCAGAGTAAATAGTCTGTTTGTTGGGGAGGGTTTTCAGAAGCAGATTAATACACATTTCTTGCACCAGTGAGCTTTCTTTGCAGTGGGATGGTGAGCGGGAGAATTACTCAAAACAGAGTGCAACTCATAAAATACATATCACCTGGTGCAACAATATGAGCCACTGAGGTGTTTAAAATAGATTTTTTTTTGGACAACAATAAAGCTTTGATTCAGAAGAATAACTCCATCCGGCTGTGCTTTATCAACAGCTACCATTTGTTCATTTTACTGCCTTCTCTAATAACAATGATGATAGTATAGTACACAGATTCACCTCACCCATCTTTATTTACTTAAATTGTTTCCATTCGACAGTCATTCAGGAGTGAAAGTGGTGGTTATAGTAACTCTGTGGCGTCAACATCTCCTCCAGCTTTCCAACACAATGCACCGGTACGTACCCTTCTCATGTTCTCATTACACATTTTCATATTGGATTACTGAATAAAAATCTTGTCTTTTTTGTTAAAAGCAGATCAACGAAAGTTGAAACAAATGCCACACTCAAAAACAGATGTGTTGGATTTACTTAAATTATATCAACTGATTCCACTCAACTGAATTGAATAACTCTAAAACATATCACATTTACTTTTAAAGCAAATTTAACAAAAAAATTGCTTTACATCTACACTGTTCAGTTGAGAGGACCCAGTAGGGATGCAACGATACAGAAAATTCACGATTCGGTTCGATACTTTAGTCTCACGGTTCGATAATTTTTCGATACAAAAAAGAGAAATGTTCATGCCCATTTTAACTTGTAATTTATTTAAATTAATTACGAACATTTGTTTTACCTCAAAAGTACAGTTTTTTAACTTGCTCAGTTTAAATTTGAACCTGACAAAGTGTATAAAAGAGGAGGGAAAGTGTTCAGTGCTGGGAAAAAAAGAAAGGGGAACAGTTCACATC